CTCACGGGTCTGCATAGTACCTTCTGCTATTATGAAGTCTGGCCAGCAGGGAGGAAATTTTCAGGTTAGTTCCAGCTTGATTTCTTTGTCCTGCAGCAAGAGAGCTGAAGTAGTAGGATTGTGCTATTTTATTCTGGTGGGCAACTAAGAGCAAGGGCAGTAGCCTATGTTGTTTGAGGTGGAGGTACTCTGGGGCCTCCCTGGCCGATAAGTCATAGGGAGATACTCTATGCTTGGCATTGTCCACTCATGCAGTATACTTGTCTGTGCTCAAACTCCCTAAAAATATTTTTGAATTAGCTTATACTTTCTTTTTTTCTTTTTGGTTCTTTGAGATGGGCTTTCTCTGTGTAGCCCCGGCTGTCCTGGAACTCCCTCTGTAAACCAGGATGGCCTCAAACTTACAGAGATCAGCCTGCCTCTGCCTCCCAGATGCTGGGATTAAAGGCATGCACTACCTGGCTATCTTTTATATATTTTTTTAAACTTTTAAGACTCACCTTTATTTATTTGTATGCATGTGTGTGTACATGTATGCATGTGTATGGGCATGCGTGTACCATGGGGAGTATGTGGACTAACAGAGGACAGATTTCTGGAGTTGATCCTTTCCTTCCAGCATGTGGGTTCCAGGATTCAGACTCTTGTTGTCCATCCTGGTGACTAATGCTTTCACCCACTGGACCATCGGCTAGCCTCTTTTTCTTTCTAGTTTTTGTAACTTTAGGGAACAGTGTTGTTTTCTGTCATTATGTAATGGGTGTCATCTTTAATCCAACTGTATTAGTTTGCTAGAGTTCTTGTAACAAAGTATCCCAGACTGAGTACCTTAAACCACAGAACTGGATGTCTTCATTGTGGGTGGTGGTGGATTGAAGGGTGGGGGTTCAGGAGGGGTGGGGACTGTCTAATACCAAGTTGCTTACAGGCTTGGTTCTGTCTAAGGACTGTGAGGAAGAATGTATCCCATGCCTCTCAGCTGTTGGCTGTTTGCACATAATCCTTCCTAGAGCTACATCACTCTGGTCTCTGCCTTCCTATGGCATGAGAGTCTCCCCTTGTGCATGTTTGTGCCCAAATTTCTCCTTTCTATGAGGACACCAATCATACTGGATCAGAATTATCTCTAAAAAGACCCATCTCCAAATATGATGCTGTTCTGAAGTACTGGGGTTAGGACCTCAGCATATAAATTTTGGGGAGGACACTAATACCAACTTGACCCTTTCTTTTCCTTTTGCTCCCCCCCCAAGGTGTTTTGAGGTAGGATCTATCTATCTATCTATCTATCTATCTATCTATCTATCTATCTTCTATCTATCTATCTATCTATCTATCTTCTATCTATCTATCTATCCATCCATCCTCCCAGACAGGCCTTGAACTCACTATATATCTCAAGTTATCCTTGAATTTGGTGATTTTCTTGTCTCAGTCTCCTGAATACTAGAATTTACAATGTGTTCCATATGGGGCCTGGCCAGATGGCTCAGTGGTTAGCAGTGTGTACCCTGACTGTAGATGATCTGAGTTTGGTTCCCAATATGATACTGGGTAACTTACAACCATCTCTAACTACAGCTTTAGAGAGATATGATACCCTCTCATGGCCTCCCCGGGCACCTGCACACACCGAGCATACACACACACACACACACACACACACACACACACACACACACACACATTCAAATATGAAGAAAAAAATTCTTTCTTTTAGGATGAGGTCAGGTGTGGTGATGTATGTTTTCAATTTTACCACTTTAGTGGCAGAAGCCAGTAAAAGGGCTATGAGTTGGAGGCCAGCCAGGTTCTTGTCAACATAGGGATTTCTCCCCAAGCTAAAGCTACACAGTGAAATGCTCTCAAAAAAGAAGGTGGAGGGGGAGGAAATTTAGGGGCCTAAATTCCAGATTGGCTAAACTGACAGAATAAAACCATCACATGAGCCAAATATCAACACTTGTCTGATATTGTGATAATGTATGTCACACTAGCTTTTCATTTAAACCTAATATTTAACATAATAAATAGTAGTACTCCACCCCATTTTACAAGCAAGGAAATGAAACTTCGTATTTATTCATAGGCAACTGAACAGGAAAGCCAAGATTCTGTGTAGTAAGCCCCCATCTGTGTAGTAAACAGCTATCTTCCAAACTGACTCCAAACGACTCATGCCTACTAATGTTCATTATTTTTGTGGTTTCGCTTCCACATTAAATAGAATGGACTTGAGTAATTAGTAGAACATTGAATAAGTGGTGACAAATGAGTCTTGGGCTGGATCAAAAAAAAAAAAAAAGACATAAAAACATTGCAGGAGCAAGATGTGGTGGTTCTTTTTTTGTCGTTGTTTTTGTTGTTGTTTTGTTTTTTGAGACCGGTCTCTCTGTGTAGCTTTGGAGCCTGTCCTGGAACTCACTGTGTAGACCACCAGGCTGGCTTCAATCTCACAGAGATCCACCTGCCTCTGCCTCCCCAGTGCTGGGATTAAAGGCGTGTGTCACCAATGCCTGACTGGTGCCGTGGTTCTTACTTTGTAATACTAGCAAATGAAGGAACCAACCAGCCATCCAACCTAAAAGAAAAAGGAAAGAGAATCATAGGAGAAGTAGGAATTTGGAGTGCAGAATAGCCTAGAATAAAGGCTTTGAAGTATGCTTAGTGTTTCTAGATACTGAGAAAAAGTGTCATCTACTGAACCTGCAGGAATAGGATTTCTTTTCTTTTTTCTTTTTTTCTTGAGGCAGAATTGGGCTCTGTAGCTTGGAAATGCATTGTGTAGACTAGAGTGGCCTCAAAGAATGTAGCTAGCCTTCTAGCTTCCTTCCTAAGGACAGGTGTACATGCCCATGCCTGGTTTGGGGTTTGTTTTTAGCCATTGCTTAGAGCAAGCTGAGTTGGCATAAATAAATTAGAGGTTAAACATTGTGTTATTTGTTGACTGATGATTTGGAGAAGATAAACAATAGAAACCAGATTCTGGAAGGGCAAGAAAAATCCTGACCAGTGGTAATAAAATGGGCTGGCACTTTTAAGGCTGTCAAAGTGAGGAAGAGGTGACATCATGGTCCCTTTGTTTTTGTTCCTACCTTCAGTCCTGTTAAATTTCCTTTGACTTTAAACTCATTGATTCAGTTTATTCTTTTTTCTGCTCTTTCCAAATCTGCTCATCTCACTGGCCCCCTTTAAAATAAGACATACATGGACACCAAGGAAGTTTATTACCTTATTCATAGGCAGGGTTTCATTTAGTCCTGGTTGGCTTCCAGCCTCATATGTAGCAAGGATAACCTAGAACTTCTGAATTACAGTTGCTGGGATTATAGGTGTGAAACCACCATGCCTGGTTTGCCACCACATGGTGCTAGGGATCGAGGCCAGGATTTTAAGCTCTCTATTGACTGAGCAACACTTCACTTCAGCCCAAAGGAACTTTTTTTTTTTTCTTTTATGAGACATGGTCTTACTATGTAGCTATGGCTGTCCTGGAATTCATTGTATAGACCAGGCTGGTCCTGAACTCATAGAAATCCACCTGCCAGCTGGGTGTTTGTGGCCCATGCCTTTAAAACCAGTACTCAGGAGGCAGAGGCAGGTGGATCTCTGTGGGTTCGAAGCCAGCCTGGTCTACAGAGCGAGTTCCAGGGCAGGCTCCTAGGCAATATAGAGAAACCCTGTCTTGAAAAAAAACAAAAAACAAAAAACAAAACAACAAACAAAAAAAGAAATCCACCTGCCTCTGCTTCTCTAGTCCTGGGATTAAAGGTGTGTGTTTTACACAGGATAAGACCAAAGGAACTTTAAAGAGGAAAAATAAACTATACTTTTAATCTGAGAATCTCCTGCTTTTGACTTTTGATCCTTTCCATAGTATCTAAACTGGGTTTAGGACTGGACAGAAAAGGCACTGTGAGTGCTATTGTGTCCAGATTCAAGTCACGCAGTCACAGTCACTGTCCCAGGCAGTGGAAGAGCCTTCTGGAACATCTGGTATCCTATGCTCATTTTATTTGTGGAGAATTTGAAGCCAGGAGAGTTCAAGTGACCAGTGGTAAGAGGTGTAAGTTGAGCAATTGCAGTCATGAGGCATGAATAGGGTCTTTTTAGTGGGTTAACAGTCTCATTAGTAATTTTGCTGGGGTTGACCGAGATTTCCATCCATGCAACCACAATCCACCAGCTACAGCAGCACCATCGCCTCCATGAAGCCCTTCCTAAGATGTGAGATGATACCCAGCTAACAGGGTTAGAAAGAAAAGGTCGTTGGGCTTATATCAACTTCGTTTTGCACATTTATTAAGTGTGTATGCATGTGGTGGAAGTCAGGAGACTGCTTTCAGTAGTTCTCATTCCACCATGTGGGTTCAGGAGATGGAACTCAAAGTCTTCAGGTTTGGCAGCAAAAGCCTTTACCACCAAGCCATATTACCAGCCCGTCATTGATATCTTAACTCTCCTTAAAACTTGTTGCCCTCTGAGAGGTCACTACAGACCGGCATTAATGAACCTTTGCAAAACGCATGAACCAACTTTTCTCAGAGGCTCCTTTTTTGTTTCTGTCCCCTTCCTCGTCCTTCCTGATAAGCATTCTAGTCGCACTCTGGGCTTTTAATCACGGTCTTGTCTGGCCTCTTGAGACCATGACTGCATCCCAAGACTGAAACCAAGGCTCCTTTAATAACTGTGGGACTTTCATGGAGGCCACAGAGGCTGGTCACTACAGTCTCGAGTGTTCCTCGGGATGGGGGACATTTCTTTGGGATGTATACTCGAGCTCTGAAAATGGCATGGCCCGAGTTGGCGTGGAAACCCACTAGAGGGTCTTGGTGTGGTGTTTACAACCACATACTGGGCAGAGGCGGCGGTCCTGGGCTGGCTGGCGAGAAGGAGGGGAGGGGCGGGGCCCCAGGGGGCGGAGTCAGAGTAGGCGGGGTGTGCCGCGGTCAGGTGACCGCACGGCGGCCAGCGTCGTCTGTGAAACTCCTGCAGGAGGCTGAGTCGCTGAGGGGTCGACTGGGGCGTTCTGGGTCAGTCGGGGCAGCGCGGCCACGGCCATGGGGGTCTTGAAGGACGAGCTGCTCAAAGCCATCTGGCACGCCTTCACCGCGCTCGACCTGGACCGCAGCGGCAAGGTCTCCAAGTCGCAGCTCAAGGTGGGTCGCCCCTGCCGGCCGGCGCTTCCCTGGGGGAATGGACCCGCGGCGGTGTCCGCAGGGAGGGGTGATTGGGAAGGCGGCGGGGCGGCGGTCCACACGCTTCCTTCTGGCCTCCAGGCGGTGCGCGGGGGCGGGCGCGCTCCTCCGGCTCCCACGACGGCATGAGGAGCGCTCTAAGGGGCGCTGCGGGACCTGCAGGGCGCCCCCCTGTGACGGGGTGTCGGGGAGCCCGGGAGCCTCAGTCTCGCCTCGCCTTGGGGACGCGGAGCACAGCCTCCCCGCCCAGCGTCCTCAGACCTTGGGGCTAGTGAGAGCGCGTGCCGAGCAGCCCGGATCTTGCTGGCTCTCGGCAAAAGCAATGACTCTTGCAGAGTCCTAGTCAGGGCTGCCCCAGGACCCCAAGGTATGAGGTACGCATAAAGGGACACTTGTAAGTTGAGTAAACCCCAAAGTGGCACTCAGCCAGGAGAACTTGGCAGCCTCTTGAGGAGTCTGAGATATAGAAACAGACAAGAAGAGCCATTCACAGGCATTTTTCAAATATAGACATTTTGGATCTGAATGGCCTTTTTTTTTTTTTTTTTTTTTTTTTTTTTTTTTTTTAAGACTCTTGGGAGGAAAGAAGTTTCGAAGATTGGGGTTGCTTTGTATATTTTGCGCAGTAAATGAGGAAGTTCTTTTTAGTAGTGAGTGACTTTTATGCCAGTAGGATTTGATGTTCTCACTTGTTTTCCTTTTGATCTTATTCATTAAATCATAGTCTGGAAGGGTCGATGGAGATTAGCCGCATACTTTTACTTTAGAAATTAACACATAGGGCCCAGAGAGATGGATGGTTCAGTGGTTAAGAGAGACTGCATTTCCAGAAGACCAGAATTCCATTTTCAGCACCCACGTGGGGCAGCTCACGCCTGCCTTTAACTCCAGGGCATCTAATGCCTCTTGCCTCTCTGGGCAGCAGCACACACGTTTTCACACTCATACACATAATTTATAGTTAATGTTTTAAAAAAGTAATAGGCGTTTCTGGTGTACAGTTCATTGAGTTTTAGCACATGTAGGAAGTCACTGTCACTAGGATTTCATCAGTTCCTTCCCACAAAGCTTTGTCATACTGCCCCATCTCCAAGGCGGTAACCATTGATCTGTTCTAGTTTTTCTTTTTCTACAGTCTGATATGAATGGGATTTTCTGAAACTGGCTTCCTTTACTCAGAAATTGACCTATCTTGTGTGTACTGTTGTTATTGCTAGGTTATTACATTGTACAGGTGTGCCATAGTTATTCACTCACCCTTGAAGATTTATGTTATTTCTAGTTTGTGATTTTGAATAGAGCTGTATGACTTTGTTTTTACTTTTACCTACTTTATAGTTTTTGTATAGTGTGTAGCTAGGTCTTGTTTTAACCATTCTGACACCTGTCTTTTTTTTTTTTTTTTTTTTTTTTTTTTGAGACAGTGTTTCTCTGTGTAACCTTGGTTGTTCTATGATACTGTCTGAATCAGATTATTTAGGCCATTTACATTTAATGTAATGATCGATATTGTTTGATTTAAGATTGCCATTTTATGATTTGGCTTCTGTTTTCTTTATATTTTTTTGTTCTGTGTATTTAGAATTACTGTTTTGCCACTTCAAGGGCAATATAGAACCCTTATGCCATGTGAAATCCATTACCCTTTTTGCCTTGTGTGTAATTGTCATATTTATTACTCTGTATACATTGAAAAACGTCCACATTATTATTTTTTAACTTTCAATTATAACTTTTAAAGATCTTAAGAAAATGGTTCATCTTTCCTCCGTATAGTCCCAGGTTACTCCACAATTTTGTTGATATGGTAGTTGAAGCTTCTGAGGTGTGATTTGTCCCAGGGTACAGAGTAAGCAGTAGCTAGGTTAGAGCCAACATTTTTTTTTTTTTTTTGAGACAAGGTCTATACAGTCCTGGATGTCCTGGAACTCATTATGTAGACCAGGAACTGATAGAGATCTGCCTTCCTCAGCTTCCCAAATGCTGTACCACTGTGCCTAGCAAGATTTTCACATTTTAAAGCCAGTGTTTCTTAACCCCCCCACCCCTTTCCAGTTGAGACATAGATGAGGTAAAATTCTACACTTTCATTGTACCCCATTACAATTTGAGGAAAAGAACCTAGGGGATTAAAAAAAAAAAAAAAAAAAAAAAAAAAAAACCCTAGAGAACTTCCATTTATTTAATGTCATTGTGTGTGTCCATGTGTGTGGGTGCTTACCTCAGTGTGGTTTTCTTGTCACAGTGTGGATCTGGAGATCAAAAGACAACTTTCAGGAGTCAGTTCTGTCCTCCCATTGGGTGGATTCTTAGGGTCAAGATCAAGTCATCAGGCTTGGCAGCAAGCATCTTTAACCCACTGAGCCATCTTGCTGGCCCCTTAGGGGATTATTGACAACAACCTAGGCAGGAAGTGTAAAATCTCAGTTCATAGTTTCAATCACATGTTGTTAGCACATCTGTGAAGTTGTATCTGTCCTGTGTCTACATAAGAGACTGGATTAATTTAGTGTGTGCATCTTGCCAGTGTTTTTAGAACTGAAAATATTTTAATTTAAATTTCTTCCTGGTGTTGATTGAGTCTGTTTCATTGGTGAACAGCATCTTTTTGGAATTATTGTATTGATTTATTTATACAATTTTTTTTGTCTTAATGTGTATAAAGTACCATGCTAATTTAATAAAAGGTTAGTTCTTTTAGTATTTTTTTTCTCTCTGTATTGGGGATGGAACCCAGCATTCTAGACTAACACTTTTACCCCTTACCCCTGAGCTATTCCTCTAGCCCCATTTTTACTTAAAAACTGTATGTGTATCTGTGTATGCATGTGTTCTTGTATGTGTGAGTGCACATGGGTACATGTATTTGTAGAGAGGAGAGGGTAACCTCTGGTGACATTCTTAGGAATGCCATGAACCTCCCGCAGACGGTCACCAGTTAGACTAGGCTGGTTAGCTATTGAATCCCAGGGAATCCTTCTGTCTCCACGTCCCTGGTGCTAGGATTACAAGCACACAGTACCATGCTGGGTGTTTTCACATAGATGGTAGCGGTTGAGTTCAGGTCCCCGCACACTCACTGACTGAGCCGCGTGTACCTCCACGCAGCCTCTGCTTACATACTTATTTTTTCACTTTTGTAGTGCTGCATCCTAAGCAAGCTCCTTATCACCCAGCTATGCTTCTGTCTCTGTTCATATATCTGTTTTTTTATTTTAGTTTAACTGTTTTTTGTTTTGTTTTGTTTTTAGACAGATTCTGTCTATGTAGTCCTGAATGGGCTGGAACTTGCTGTATAGACCAGGCCAACTTCAAACTTACAGTACTCTTCCTGCTTTTCCCTTTCAGGTGCTGAGATAGCACGTGGAAACCATGCCTGGTTTATCTTGTTTGTTTATTCATTAATTCATTTTATGTTTATTTGTAGTGTATATCTTTGTGTGTGCACATGCACAGGAGTGTGTGTTCTGTGACATGTGTGGAGATGAGAGGACGACACAGAGCGTTCTGGAGATTGACTTCAGGTCACACCTGGTGGCCAACCAATTTTATCCGTTGAGCCATTATGCTGGCCTACTTTTTTTTTTTTTTCTCTTCTTGGTTTTTCAAGACAGGGTTTCTCAGTGTAACAGTTCTGGCTGTCCTGGAACTTGCTCTGTAGACCAGGCTGGCTTCAAACTCACAGAGCTCCACCTGCCTCTGTCTCCCAAGTGCGGGGATCAAAGGTGTGCGCCACCACCACCTGGCACTATTTTGTTTTATGAGTATGGGTGTTTTGCCTGCTTGTTATGTTTGTGTACCACATAAGTATAGTGCCCTCAGTGGCCAGAAGAGGGCATAGGAGCCCCCCTGGGACTTAAGGTACAAACGGATGGTGAACTGTTATGAGTACTGGGGATCAAACCTGGGTCCTCCCGGAAGAACAGCCAGTGCTTTTAACTGCTAAGCTAACTCCTAAGAGACCTCCAGCCCCACTTTCATAACTTTAAAAAAAGTTTGCTTATTGTTATTGTGTGTGTAAAATCAGAAGCATGTGTGCCTTGGTATGTATGTCTGTTGTGTTCAGAGAACAACTTTCAGGAATCTTTATCTCCTTCCACAGTGGATTCTGGGGATTGAACTCATGTTTTCAGGCTTGTGTTTCTGCGCCATCTTGCTGACCTACCTTTGTAACTGTTGGCACAGATGGATGCATTCAGTAAATGTAGGTCTTGTGTTGGGCCTTGTGCACAGCGCAGGTGATAGGGTTGTGAGACATGGGAGAAAAAGAAATCAGGAGGAGTCCTTGCTCTCAAAGAGCTTAAATTTTGGCATGCAAATTAAGAGAGTGAAATCATTAGAAAATGCCTGTTTAGAGCCAGCTGTGCTGGTATACACCTTTGATCCTAGCACTGGGGAGGCAGAGACAGATGGATCTCTGTGAGTTCTAGGCCAGCTTGGTCTACAATGGAATTCCAAGGACAGTTAGGGCTGTTACACAGAGAAACCCTGTCTCGAAAAAGCCAAAACCAAACCAAACCAAACCAAACCATAACCCCCCCACACCAAAACCCAGAAGAAAAAGACTTGTTTATTAATCCTTTCTGCCCCCCTACCCATATAGACTATATTGCTTAGATAATTACCCTAGCTTTGAGAAATAAGAAGTCTAGCTAGGAATGGTGGCTCACTTGTAATCCCAACATTGAGAATCTGAGGAAGGAGGATTACTGCAAGTTTGAGATGATCTTGGCTATATAGTGAGCCTCATGATAGCCAGGGCTATATATTAGACTGTTTAAGAGAACAGAAGAAAGGCCAGTGAGATCACTCAGCTAGTAAGGGCACTTGCTCCCAAACCTGACTATCCCCACGTCGGAAAGAGAGAAGTGACTCTTTCAAGTTGTCCACTGACCTCCACATGCATGAAGTGGTAGGTATATACGACATGAAGTGTATCGGGAAAGATAGGAAACACAAAC